GGGTCCTGGGGTATGACCAGCCACTCCCAGCCCCACAGGGACTTAGGAAGGGTGAGGGGAACCAGAGCCCCACTTCCCGCTTCAGAGTAGCGGGGTGGAGCCGGGACACTGCTGTCAGCCTCCTGTGATCGCTCTTTACTGAGCACCTTCTGTGAGCCAGACACTGTTCAGGCCAATGCCAGAAGTGCCTTTCACCAGAATCCAGCCTAGCACGGAGCCCTTGCTCCTGCCACAAGGAGGTGGGGAGCAGGTGCTGGGGCCTTAAACTCCATCTCACAGCAGGCAGTCACCCCAAGATTCCAGGGGACTTCTGCAGAGATGGTCCAGACAGCAGCTGCCCCTCTGCTCCCCCTCTCCTTCCTTCAGCAGGCCAGAGCCCGAAGCACCCCCCAGGCCAGCCTCGCCGAGGGGCGGCAGGGGTGCCCCGGAGACCAACGCCCCAGCAGAAGACACGGCACGGAGGAGTGAGTGACTGCGGGAGAGGGGGGACTGTGCAGACCAGGGACCCAGCTGGTCCTTAGAAGCGCAGGGCTTTGTCACCTGGCACTCAGTTCACGTTCCAGCCCTGACCTTGGGCAGGTTGATGGTGGGCCCTGTCGGGGCCTCAGTTTCCCTGACAGGGGGCTGTGTGACAAACAAGCCTGGCTATAGAGAGTGTGTAGGGCTCTGGGGAAAGTCAGCATGAGTGTGGGAGCAACCAGAAACCGGGGTCCTCAGAGAGCAACAAAAGAAGGCGGTGGCAGGAGGTAAGTCCTGGGGTCTCCTGAGTCCACTCTTGCACTCACCTGTCAACTTGGCCCAGAGATGGGCAGGTAAGAGGGCTAGGAGCCCAGCCTGGGTGCTGTTACAGAGTTGGGATGTAGGTGTGGGAACCAGGATCTTTGAGAGCTCGGGTGGGGAAGCTCTGGTGGGCTTCTCAGAGGAGGTGTCAGGGACAAGCGCACTCATGTGTTCAGTAGATGTTGCCACTCACCTGCTCCACACAGGTGACTCACCTGCATCAGGGTCTTGGGGCCAAGTTGGATAAAAATGACAAGGTAGGGGCTGGGAAGGTGGCTCAGTGGTAGAGCGCTTGCCTTGCATGCATGAGGCCCAGGGTTCGATTCCTCAGCACCACATAAGCAAAAAGAAAAAAAGCCGGATGTGGTGCTGTGGCTCAAGTGGTAGAGCGCTCGCCTTGAGCTGAGGGACAGCATCCAGGCCCAAAGTTCAGGCCCCACGACCAAACCAAAAAAGAAAAAGAAAATGACAAGGTGGCAGGTGCCTGTGGCTCACCCCTGTAACAGCTTCTCAGGAGACTGAGATCTGAGGATCACAGTTTGAAGCCAGCCCAGGCAGATAAATCCAAGAGACATATCTCCAGTTAATTATTTAAAAGCCAGAATTATGCAGGGCACTGGTGGCTCACACCTGTAATCCTAGTTACTCAGGAGGCTGAGATATGAGGATTGCTGTTCAAAGCCAACCTGGAAAGTTCTTGAGACTCTTATCTCTAATTACACATCAGAAAACTGGAAGTGGAGCTGTGGCTTAAAGTGGTAGAGCATTAGCTTTGAGCAAGAAAGTTCAAAAACAGCACCCAGGCCCTGAGTTCAAGCCCAGGTACTGGCAAAAAAACAACAACAAAAAAGATAATATCCCACGACAAGTCCTTTGAAAAACTAAAGTTTTTTGGTTTTGGTTTTGTTTTTTTTTCCTGTTGGTGGTGGGACTTGAACTCTGGGCCTGGGCGCTGTCCCTCAGCTCTTCAGCTCAAGGCTAGCGCTCTACCACTTGAGCTACAGCGCCACTTCTGGTTTTCTGGTGGCTAACTGGAGATGAGTCTCATGGACTTTCCTGCCCAGGCTGGCTTTGAACCGAGATCCTCAGATCTCAGCCTGCTGAGTAGCTAGGATGACAGGGGCATGAGCCACTGGCACCCGGCTTAAAGTTTGTTTTATTTTTACCCTGTGAGAGAGTAGAGCTCTTCTTGCAAAGACGCCTCAATATTGAGAGGGCCAATATGGCAGGGACAGCAGGATCAAAGGTCCTGCGGCAGGACCAAGCTTGGGGGCACCCCAGGCTCTGTGGATACCTGATCTCCCTCTTCTCTCCATCCTCCACAGCCAAGCGTCCAGCACCCGCCAGGCCTACAGTGCCACCCCCCCAGCTCTCCAGCACCCGCTCCTCCCCTCCAACCCCACCCCTGCCCCCTGGCTCTGGCAGCCCTGGAACCCCACGAGCTTTGCCCCGCCGTCTGGTGGGCACCAGCCTCCGGGCCCCCACAGTGCCACCTCCTCTGCCTCCAGCTCCTCCACAGCCTGCACGGCGCCAGAGCCGTAAGTCCCCAGCGTCCCCCAGCCCAGCCTCTCCCAGCCCGACCTCCCCAGGCCCAGCCTCTTCTGGCCCAGGATCTTTGAATGTCACTGCTCAGGGGGATCTGGGAGTGGCCCCAGAAGATAAAGGGGCCCCTGAGGCTGCAAGTGGGGACCCCACTCGCACAGCACTGCCACCTCAGCCCCGCCCTAGGGTCCTTGCCTCCGAGACTGACTGAGCAGGCAATTCCTCCTTCACTAGCCCTCTGTGCCCCTCCCCTCCCCACCGTGTCCTCCCGAGACCTCCCTGGCCTCTCAAGGAGTGGAGCCCCCAGCCTTGCCCACAAGTGCCTCGGTACCCACTGCTGGGTCAGCCCTTGTGACTGGGAAGGTTGAAGAGAACCCCTCCCCCAATTTTCTGACCTTCTCCATCCTGGGGCTGGGAACCCCACAGCTGACTCCCCACTCTGGCAGGGTCCCAGAAAGATGGACCAGCTTGCCTGCTCCTACAGGACTATTATTTTTCTGTCACCAACATATTTTTGTAAGGCTGGTAAATAAATTATTTTGGACAGAACCAGAACCATTGCCTAATGAGTTTTATTTTCTATCCTGGCAATAAAGTGGGGCAGGGCGGGAAAGAGGACCCTGGTGGCTCACACCTGTAATCCTAGCTCCTCAGGAAGCTGAAATCCGAGGATTTAGGTTCAAAGCCAGGCAGGCAGAAATGTCCTTGAGACTCTTACCTTATAACCACCAAAAAGCTGGAAGTGAGGGTGTGGCTAGAGTGGTATAGTGCCAGCATTGCAAGAAAAACCCAGATCCTTAGTTCAAACCCCAGAACCAGCACAAAACCGGGGGAGGGGGAGGAGGGGGTGTTCCCTGCCTCCTTTCTATGTTCTGGTCTGAAATGACTAAGTGACAGCAACTTGGACTTGGACCTTCCTCTGAGCTGAATGCCCAGTGCACTCTGATTCTGAAGAGCTGGGTCACTCCTATACATTCTGACATACAGAAGCTAAACAGTAGCTTAGCAGTCTACTACCCCTATAGCCCACCTGGTGGAACATTCTAGACCCTGGAGGCCACCTAAACCTAAGCAAAGGCCTGAAGCAGGAGGGGACAGTGTAGCTGAACCTCAAAGGTGCGGTTCTCTTGCATTGTTTTCGGCACCAGCAGTTCTAGGGTGGGGATCACATATCTTCAGCACCTTCTCTGAGATTGGCAGACAACCTTGCAACTCGAAAACACAGTTCCCCACATTTTAAACCTAAGATCTGCAGTTTTCTTCATATCAGAAGCCCCTCTCCCAAACCGCCACAGTGCCACCCCTCTGATCTCCATGGGGTCCACTTAGTTGTCATCACCCAGGACAATTGGCCAGCAACTAAACACTACCCATCCCAACCATAACTTGACAATCTTGGTTCCAGCTATGCTTCCAGATTTTAAGAAATCATTTGTCAAAAGCCACAGAGCTGTACATGTACAATCTTTGCATTTACTGAACATAAATAAGATGTGAAAAAAGTAAGTCTAAGCCTGCTTGAGTGGCTTACTCCTGTAATCCTAGCTACTCAGGAGACTGAGATTTGAGGATCAAGGTTCAGAGCCTGCACAGGAAGGTCTGTGAGACTCTATCTCCAATTAACCACAAAAAGCTGGAAATGCAGCTGTGGTTCAAGTAGTAGGGTGCTAGCCTTGAGCACTCAGGTCCTCAGTTCAAGCCTCAAGACCAGCACCCGCATAAAAAGGTCTACTGCTAGTGTAGAGGACCCCAGCGTCCCCAGTGTCCAGGAGAACCTCAATCACTCTTGCTCTAGCACGTGTTTTAGCTCCTTGCTCTGAAAGGTAGGTTCCAACGTTCCAAAGTCAATTTGAACTCTGGGCACGGACACTGTCCCTGAGCTTTTTTGCCAGTCCTGGGGCTTGAACTCAGGCTGGGCACTGTCCTTGAGCTTCTTTTGCTCAAGGTTAGTACTCTTACCACTTGAGCCATATCACTACCTCCGGCTTTTTCTGCTTATGTGGTTCTGAGGAATGGAACCCAGAAACTGGGGAATGGAACCCTGGATTTCATGCATGCTAGGCAAGCACTCTACCACTAAGCCACATTTCCAACCCCCTGAGTTTCTACCACTTGAGCCATAGCTTAATTTCTGGCTTTTTTTTTTTAGGGGGGGTAGTTTATTAGAGATAAGAGTCTCACAAACTTCCCTTTCCGGGCTGACTTCGAACTGCTATCCTCAGAGCCGCCTCCTGAGAAGCTAGAATTATAGGCGAGAGCCACCGGCGCCCGGCTCGCATCAGTTTTCGTCCTAGCAACCAGCTCCCTTAAGCTTCTGATTGGCTGCGGAGCCGCCTTTCCTCTTCTTTGCTTTTTATTAGTTAAAAAGAGCGTCAGTCTCCAGGACTCCTACCCTATAAGAGAACAGTTGAAGTTGGAACTTGGTGGCGATTGGTTTAACAGAGAAAGAAGGCGGGGCTGGCGGCCAAACGAGTTCTTTGTTGGTCTTCAGTGGCTGCGGAGATCCCGCCCTTTTTTCCCAGATCCGTTCGCAAGCGGCCCCAGGCCTCTCCGAAACTCTCTCTCCCATTGGCCACGAGGCAAGCTGTGGCCCCGCCCTCCAGCCCTTCTCGTGCACCGATTGGCTCTACGCGAATTGGCCCGAGCACGCCGTGCCCGCGGAGGGAGAACGGCGCGGTCGTGCGAGCGGCCAGCCGGCTGCATGGCGCGCTGCGAGCAGCTTCACGGCGCGGGCCTGCGCGACGTGCTGGGCCGGACGCAGGGCGTCCTGTTCGACTGCGACGGGGTGTTGTGGAACGGCGAGCGCGCCGTGCCCGGTGCCCCGCAGCTGCTGGAGCGGCTGGCCCGGGCCGGCAAGGCGACGCTGTTC